AAGAACCCACAAACAAATTGGATGAATGGAAAATGAAAGTGAGCGAGCCATCCACGTAAAAAAGTGCTCCCATAATCCTACTAAATAGTGCTAAAAGCACATAAACAAAGAGGCGCGATAAGCTGAGTAGCAAAAGTCAGCGGTAGAGAATTGACAACGAGAAGAAACATCAAGGGTAAAAAGGGACATAACCCATATCTGAAACAAGCGCAGGGATGTTGAGACAAAGCTCCAGGAAGCTAGAAATTAAAGGCCCAAACAAAAGGGCATGCAGAAGCCGAAAACGCAGGGGAAAGGGGGAAGCAAAGAAATAGAGGAAATAGGGGTTGGAAGGAAAAACAGGAAGCTATCACAGGGGAAGATGGTGGGACAGGAAGGATGCAAACATGGAGGAGGGTTAGGAGTCTTGAGAGGGTGGAAGGCAGGCTAGCCGCCGACCCCAAGCCAGAACCAAAGGCCGACGGCCGGGAGGCTGGCTTGCAGAATTCGGGTTTTTGGAAGAGAGAAGGGCACATGGCTCTAGAGAGAAAAATGGGTATAAATAATGTTCTAAGGCCATCTCCAATGGAAACGACTAAAGATTCAAAAGCCAAACATTAAATTGGTTTGTCCAAAAATTCATCTCCAATTAATAGCTGGGCTATAATTCTATAGAGCCAATCACGCTATTATTTGGCCAAGAAGCATCAAGTTGGTTAAATGTAAAACCCCTCTTGGTCTTTTTTTGGAGATCTAACTCCTCAGTAGCAATAATTAATTCAAATTCAATAGCTAGATTACATAATAGTAGTTTAACTAAATTAACCAATAAATTTAAATTATAACCTTAAAACTAATAAATTATTAGGAGGGTTATATTTAATTCCTTCGGTTGGAGATGATATATGAGTATAGCCTAAACCTTAAATTTAAATTATAAACTTAAAACTAATAAATTATTAGGAGGGCTATGATTAGTTCCTTTAGTTGGAGATAATATATGAGTATAACCTCAACCATAGAATATAAGCTGGATGGATAAAATGGAAGAGTGCATCCAACGTGTTGTGTGACCATCATATGTCGCTGAAGCTCAAAGGAAAATTTTATAAGACAGCTATAAAGCCAACAATGCTTTATGGCACGGAATGTTGGATGGTAAAGCATCAACACGTACATAAAATGGATGTAGTAGAGATGAGAATGCATCGTTGGATGTGTGGGCACACGAGAAAGGATAAGATTAGGAATAAGGATATCCAAGGTAAAGTAGAAGTAACCGAAATTAAAAGAAAAATAGAGAATATTGGTTACAGTGGTTTGGACACGTGAAACGAAGACTTACTAACGCTTCGGTTAGAGAATGTGATTACGAGACAGAGGTTCAGGGCCTAAGGGGTAAAGGAAGACCTATAAAGACTTCAGAAGAAACTCTCAAGAAAAGATAGTACTTGGATCTAACGGAAAACGTCACACAAAACCGAATGCAATGGCATTATAGGATTCATATAGCCGACCCCACTTAATAGGAAAAAGTTGTTGGTTGGAGATGGCCCAACTAAATTCACCCATTGCAGTTACATCTCAAGTCAAAAATAATAATAATAAAACAAGGCCAATATTAATAAAATTTGATTTGTACTGATGAAAATTATTCCCCTAGTGGTGAATTTTCCGTAGTTAGGATCGGTGAATTTTCCATAGTTAAGATCGACCTTTTCAAACCACTGCGTTCATGGTTCAAATTCTAATCTCCGTATCATGTAAAGTCTCTTTCCGGTAGTATAAATTAGTGTAGAATATCGTTTGTAATATGAAAAAAATGAGAAGTATTCCAATCCTTGCTTCATATTTTAAGTTCAAACAACATTCAGGGCCAGCAGTTCCAAACACCATAACTAGAATTATATTCCACAGAATAATGAAAAGCTAATCCTACAGAACAAGTTAAAAAGATTCCAAAACTCCCAACTCAACCAAACAGGTCATTGCTCAGGAACAAGTTAAAACAGGCTGCAAATGACATCCTCACAACTCTTCAAACACAAGGTTGCCTAGTCAAATATGCATCTAAACCATTGAACACGTCTACGGCGGCATACAGTGCTATTCCATACGTAATGTAATCCCAAACACTTCAAGTTTTACAAATCTAACATGCATTGTGTTACCTGCACTTACAAATCTAATCTGAATTACGAAGTTTGTGTTTATGATTCGCTACCGAAAATAACAGCCTGCTAAAGTTTCCGAAACGAAAATCATCGTTTCACTGCTCTGTTGAAACATTTATAACTCAATTAGAACAGCTAGAATATTTCGATAACGTTAGACATCAATACGAAAATCCAGTTCTTCGCACAATCATGAGAAACTATTGTCATGAAAACAAATCAGAGAAACGAAGTTGCGAGTTTACGAATGGAATTTCATGGTCAGTCAGGACAAAGGCATCCAGTCCTCTCTCCCCCCAACTGCGTCTCTAATTCCAGCCGAAAGGGTATAAATCTATCCATAGGACAGAAACACAGTTAAGAGTTAAGAGTCAATCAGCACAGTTAAGCATTGTTTGCATCAGACAACTGCAACTTCCGCATTAGGGTCATAATCGTGAGAACCAGAAAAACGCACAATGTCAAGACTCAGTTAGGTTAGTTACCTCAGCAAAGGCAGAGGTGAGCAAGTACTTGGTGAAGCTCTAATGGAGACTCTCACCGCTGCATAAAAACCGACAACTAAGGTTGGAATTCATAGACACCGAAACATCGACTAGAAATAAATTTAAGGGCAAGTTTATTCAATTCATGATTCATTCTCATTCTGAATACAATGATCATAAACAATGTTTTAGCCTCCGAACAGTTAAGACTCGGGTTTTCGGTTCATCTCAAACCTGAAAGATTCTTCATCTTCCTCTTCCTCAATATACATCCATCATCAACAGCTTCTAGAACAGCAGAAACATTCATTCCTGATAGGAGCCATAACAGAGTAAAACAATTAAGCACAATCTCAAGATCAAGGTCGACGATATAGGTGTTTGATCTCGAAGAAGTTGTCCATCAATTCTTTAAATTTCCTCAAAGGGTTAATCCATTAAGTCGAAATCTTTCTCAGTTGCATAATTTGACAGTGCACGCCACGGCCTGTGCCCAGTATTTGAGCCTTTCTTTCACATCCTCGGGATGGTCACCTGGACAAGCAAAATTTTACAAAGAGGTCAGAAGTTTGAAGCTTTATAGCGTATTGAAGTTGCACCAATTGAACTAATTGGGGGCTTGTTTGTTACAAGCTACAACAATGGTGGGGCGGAGGAACGAGGAGGGATAGGTCAGCCATAATAAGGTATCGAACCCGCTTACAACTAGAGAGGAATACCACTAGACGTAACGCTACTGGCAATTCAAAAGAAGACTTACGAAGAATAAGATTCCATGAAATCCTGGAACTAATTGGGGATGTATTTATCGTTTCACCTGCATTACGTTAAATCTCACAATCTAGATTCGAAACATGCTAAAGCAAATGGACCTCGATGATTATTTCACTAATTACCATGTTAACAAGAATCAAAATTTAAAAAAATTCAAAAAAACCCAGATCACTCACCAGGACTAGAGATCTTCCAACTGGCAATTTGACTCGAAACCGAATCGACCGCGGCCGGAGAGTTCTCCGGCGACTTTTGGTGCTCGTCCATGAACTTCTGGCTCATAGAGTAACAAAGCTCGAGAGCCGGCAAGGTGTTACAGAGCTCCGGAATCTCTTCGTAGCTGAACCCGAATCCCAGATCCAAACACCCTTTAAGCTCGTCGAGATCCTCGTCCGTCAAGCTCTTGGTCCTCGACAGATCATCGTCGTCCGCCGCCTCCACGTACCCTTCAAGCAAAACCTGCTTCTTCTTCTTCTTCTTGCTCTTCAACCTGTTAAGCTTCGGCCATTCTTCCTCGTCGGTTTCTTGGGTGAATCCGGAAGAAGATGACGATGTTCGAAGCAATTGATTGGTTTGCTCATCTGGGATTTCATTGATTGAAGAAACCCATGACTCTGTTTCGCAAACGAAGGCCTCCATTTCTCTCTCTCTCTCTCTCTCTCAAACTTTCTCGAGCTTTCTCTCTCTAGGACTTTTCTTTTCTCGTGAGTGTTTGAGAGAGGCGCAGAGAGACGTGCCTTTAAAGCTGTACTCAGACGGAAACAACCAATTATTTGCCTTTGTCTTTTCTTTTTCTTTTTTTAAATTTTTTTTTTAAATTTCCATATCGGGATGCATGTCACGTGTAGACATGATATATACATACATACATACATGACATGTCATTTTTTTTTCTTTTTTTTCTTTTTTTTGCTTTTTCTGAAATTTCCGTATAGGATGCATGTCAAGGGTACACATGATACATACATATATACATACATGACATGTCATCATCAATGTCTGTGGTTGTGTGACCTGGACGGGACAGCTGTAGCGAGAGGTTGAGAGGGGTTGATGATGACAAAAATGAGAAGTGGACACGTGGTGGACGATTGGACACGAAATGTAGGATAGGACAATAGGAGCGAGGGTGGGGCCCAAAGTGGAACTGTGGGGTGTATGGGTCCATCATGTTGTTGGGTGGAGATTTGTTTGCATGTGATTGATAGAGAAGCATGTGGAAGAGAAAGACTTGTATACGACGGATACATTGTAAGCTTATTTTCACTTAGAGCAACGTTATTGTTAGGCTATCTTCAACTGAAGGGTATAGAGAGCCAAAAATAGTCTGAAAATCGTCTCTAACCGAGGGTCAGGCCAGAGGGCTCATAGACCTAAAGAAATCTGAAAGGGCCAAAAGGGCTGGCCACATGTAGCCAAATTTTTTGGGCCAATTTTTTTTTTTTTTAAATTCTTAAAAATTCTAAATTTTTTCCTATAAATATCTAAACAATTCATTCACCATTCCTCACAAATTTTTAAATATAAGTTGTAGTTTTTTAATTTAAGTTGTCATAGTTTTTTAGTTTAAATAATAAATTACGTTTGGTCCTTAGTTAGAGACGGTTTTTTGTGGCAGGGCTAAAACGAGCCCTATGACCATTTGGTCCTTGGTTGGAAATGAAAGCAAATATGATCATGTACTATTTATTAAAATATTAATTTCTTAAATGACCAGTGGGTTAAAATAAGCCCTTTAACCAACCCTGGTTGGAGACTGCTTTATGTTATTTCCGATTTCGATAGTGCCACGCCTTCATCTCCTCATGATCCTCTGTGTCTCCTCATCTCCCTATTCCCATAAACGAAATCCAAATCCTCATATGTCATGGCCGGTTTGACACCTCCACTCTGTATCCAGGAATTATTATGAAAAAATAATTAAAACCCCATGGATTGTTTATGTTATTTTTCTAATTAAGAACGTAAGAAATAAAGAAATCAATAAAACTAATGATAAGGTGGCTGGAGATGGAGGAATAAGGGATGATTGTATGGACAATAACTAGAGAGAAGGAGGAGTAGGAGGGTTATTTAACAGAATCCACATAGACAAGCTAAAATGGAGTGGGTATTGACTTTCAAGAGTAAAGCGGCAATTTTTGAGTTTCAATGGATAAAGTGTAATCGAAATCTAGTCTGAATTCTCGCCGAATCCTCTTTGTGAGGATCCTGGGAATCTGTGAATCGTGTCTATTCATCGTACATCGTACGGTCATAAACCATTTTAAATTTTATTTAAAAATAAACATAAACAATATTTGACAAAAATTGACCACACAATGTACGATGAATAGACACAATTCATTGATTCCTAAGATCCTCACCAAAAGGATCTGGAGAGAATCCTGTTGGATCAAAAGCGAGTCATAGAAAGGATAATTGAAAAAAAAAAATTATTCAAAAAATGTATTTTTAATCCACATCAGCATATTTGACGGTTTTAGACGAAAATAAAATAAACAAGTCATTGTGAAGCGAATTTTGAGTTTCAAAGGGTAAAGTAACTACTTGTGAATTTCAGGAGGTAAAGTAAGATTAAAATCGAGTGCTAGAAATGATAGCTAAAAATAAACCGACATTTCTATTGACATTTTTTTGTTAATAATATAATTATATGTATTAAATTTCCTATACACATTTTCTATTATTATTACAAAACGCTACTGCGATGGTTTACCTATGTTATAAAATTTTCTCACACGTGGGAGATGTGTTGTTTCTTTTTGCGGGGAAAAGTTAGGAAAGGGGCGGTTTGGTAAATTTGGTGGTGCAAGTGTTTATAATAGCCCCAAGGTGGAAGCCCTTTTCACATTCGCACACCCCTTTGAATTCATGTTTGGATAATAATGAGTATGGACAAAAAAAACCTTCATTGTGGATGAGATGGTCGTGGTCCTTACTCTTTAGAGTTTATCTACTTCTTGCGGTATTATCCATTCATCCATTGATTATCTTTCTATAGAGACAGATCGGTCTCTTATTTATGATTGGAATTTAACTACACTCTTTGAAATTCGATTTTGATCTTATTTTACCTTCTGAAACTCAAGTATTCGCTTCAATTTCCTTGTTTATGTTATTTCCGACGATGCTACGCCTTCATCTCTTCATGATCCTCATGATCCTCCGTCTCTTCTCATCTCCCTATTCCCATATAAACGAAATCCAATTCCTTATATGTCATGGCCCGTTTAACACCTGTACTGTGTCTAGGAATTATTATGAATAGGTAAATAAATAAACCCATGGATTGTTTTTGCTATTTTTCGAATTAAAAACATAAGAAATAATGAAATCAATGAAATTAATGATAAGGTGGCCGGAGATGAAGGAAGAATGGATGGACAATAATTGGCATATTTTATGGTTTTCAGACGAAAATGACATAAACAAGGAAATGCGGAGCGAATTTTGAGTTTCAAAGGATAAAGTGACAACTTTTGAGTTTCAGAAGATAAAATGAGATCAAAATCGAGTTCCAAGAAAGATAGCTTAAAATAAGCTGACATTTATATTCACATTTTCTTGTTAATAATACAATTATATGTATTTAATTTATTTCACGTATTTTCTATTATTAATATAAAATGCTACTATGATGGTCTACCTGTGTTATAAAAGTTTCTCTCAAGTAGGAGACGTGTTGTTGTTTTTTTTTAATTTTTTTTGTGAGAAAATGTTAGAAAAGGGGCAGTTTGGTAAATTTGGTGGTGCAAGTGTTTTATAATAGCCCCACTGGAGAAGCTTTTTCCACATTCACACACCCCTTTTAATTCATGTTTGGATAATAATAGGTATGGACCAAAAAAACCTTCATTGATGGATGGGATGGTCGTGGTCTTTGCTCTTTAGAGTTTATCTATTACATGCTCATTATCTTTAGAGTTTATCTACTTCTTTGCGGTATTATCCATTCATCCATTAATTTTGTTTTCTTTTTTAACATCACCCTCACAATAGTTGATTATCTCTCTACAGAGACAGGTCATCAATCTCTCATATATGATTGGAATTTACATCTATTATAGAAATATTCTGTAAATATAGTACAAATACTATCATTATCTTTGATTTTAACGTTGATTGTCTAGTTAACCATTTAGAGTTGAGTTCAATTCTCGAAATTGGGCATGACGTTCAAATTCTTTCACATTGAATCTCAGCCATTTGATATGTCTCCAATTCACGCCTTATGTTCAGTTTATTGTCTAATCAACTGTAATTTTTTATGTAACAGAATAAAATTCACTTACAAACAGACTAATCATGTCACATATAACACACCGAGGACATTCCAGAGGCAAGCCAAACAGAGCTTCTGCGTTGGGCCTCACTTCAGTTTGCACTCCACGCTATTAATGGTGATTGACATAGCAAATGGTGTGAATTGATTGATGTCAAAACGTGGGACGCAATATGCAAAAAGAACAAAAAACTGAAACTTCAACTCACTTTGAAACGAATTTAAAACTTCAATGGTGTAAAATATGACCCTTACGCATAAAGTGTATCATTAAAAAAATAAAACGTTACTATCAAATGTAAAAAATCCTTATAATATGGTCGGAGATGGGAACAAGTTTTGGGCCTTCTTAACTTTTCTCCTAGCTCTTAATAATATGAACCGTTTACCAATTATATGCAATTCACACTAAGAAAAATTAAGTGGAATTTCTCAAATGAGATGCTTTACAACTTTACAGTTTAACATCAATTTTTGCGATGGTATCATAAATTATTGTGTAAAAATATGTGGTAACAAAGAATTCTGCTTTAAGAAAATCTCTTTATCATTTCTCAATTGATGTGAAAACCCTAATGGACAAATGCTATGAAAATTCTTTTAAAAATGTGACTCTTTATGGACTATTTGTCCCTTCACGATTTTTTACACAATATACCATAATACCAATACGAGAATTGACATTAAACAATAAATTCACACTAAGAGAAAAATTAAGTGAAATTTCTCAAAGTGAGACGTTTTACAACTTTACATTTTAACATCAATTTTTGTGCGAGTATCATAAATTATTGTGTAAAAATATGTGGTAACAAAGAATTCCATTTTAAGAAAATCTCTTTATCATTTATCAATTGATGTGAAAACCCTAATGGACAAATGCTATGAAAACTCTTTTAAAAATGGAACTCTTTATGAACTATCAGTCCCTTAGTCCCTTCACGATTTTTTACACAATATATTATAATACCAATACGAGAATTGACATTGAACAATAAATTAACAAAGAATCCATAATAAGTTCTACTTCGAAAGGATATTCCTGTCATTTCACAACTCCAATAACATAGGTTGTAAAATCCACTAATGTGATCCACACCACAATAGAAAAATGAGAAAAATGAGAAAATGGGGATGGTAGGTTTTCGTCGTGCAGTGTGCACCAAACTTTTGTCACATAATATAACATTTCTTTTCGGCGGATAATTGTCATATCGCACAGCTAGGCGCTCAACTAACACAAATATTATTTATAACGCCATCTCCAATGAAGAGAATCAAGATCTGTCTTAAAACTCTTCTGCTGTGATAATTGATACTTACGGTATTATAATTAAATTAATTAATAAATTAATTATATAAATTTAAAGTTAATAAATTAGTGGGGAGATATGTGTAGTCTATTCCGTGGAACATAATGTTATAACATGGCATATATAA